CCAACAAGTAATAACACATAAGCATGTCACAACACATAAGCTAAACTCATACAACTGATCCTGTCCTAAGGCCTCGCCTATCCTGGGCCTCGCCCCTATCCTGCTACTGATGAGCCATGGAACCCCGTCCACGCTCCTACTGGTAGTGAGATACGGTCCCAGCCCATCCTCACTCCTTCCCTGACTTGGGCCTCACCCCTGTTCTGCTACTAGTGAGATGTGGAACCCCATCCACACTCTGCTATTGGTGAAATACGGGACCTCGCCCACACTTACGTCTAAGGATGAGCAAAAGGACCGAACCGGCCAGAACTGGCCCGAACCGAACCGGAACCGGGAACCGGCTTCGGCCAAAATCAAGAACTGAACCGGCTCTGCGGTTCTACCGGTTCTTGTCGTGTCTTCAAATGTTGGAACCGGTCCTTGAAAAATAGCATTATACGATTCCGGTTTTTGACGGTTCTACCGGTTCCGGTTCCTACCGGTTTCCGGTTCCAAAAATCCACAAAAATAACGTCCTGGTCCCGGTCCGACCGGTTCCATCGGGTTCCGGTTCCGGTGCCGGTTCCGGTTCCGGTACCGGTTCCAGCCGGTTCCCCGATCCATATGCTCATCCCTACTCACCTCCCTACCAGGCACATACATGTATCACACAGACAACAAGTATAAACTATCATATAAACAAACCTTGGGCACCCGCCCACTATTACTGGACCTCGTCCTGAATATCATACTAGCATACTGTGCCTAGGGCTAACCCTCGGGTCTTCTACTCATAACTACATGGGGCGGCATTATGGCCTTAGACCCATTCACACAAAGGGAAACTCACCTGCACTGGCTGAACTCGCTGATGATCTCACTAGCTACTGCCCTGCAACTCACTGAACTCCTGCTCCCCTTGCTCCCCAAACTACCAATATCAATGCAACACTGAGTCTAACTGACCCCTGAAAGACAGCCAAGTCAACCTTGGTCAAAGTCAAAGTCTTGGTCAAGGTCAACCTTCTAGGTCAACCCTACTCGCCGAGTCACCCTACTGACTCGCCGAGTTCATATATACAAAATCCTTCCCTTCGCATCTCGACTCGCCGAGTCTACCGATTTCCGAGTCCTGATCTGTCCAACTCACCGAGTCTCCACCCGACTCACTGATTCGAGTCTCAACTTGAAGTGTTTGGGGTTTCGCAACCTGACTCGCCGAGTCCAAGAACAGACTCGCCGAGTACAAGGTAATCTTCATCTGACTCGACGAGCTGTTCATCCCACTCGTTGAGTTGCTCTTCACCTTCATGCTACTCGTCGAGTCCACTTCAATGGACTCGCCGAGTCCATTCAGATCCCCTTACATGCAGAGGGCTTTTGAGTCATGCATGGACTCCAAATTGTAGATCTACCCTTCCCAAGCCTATTCCTCACGTAAATTTGCAAACTTTACGTGTAGAGAAGGAGATTTAGGCAAGATACACCATAAACTAGGGTTTAAGGCAAAGAGGCTCCATGATCCACTCAAGCGTTGATACTTTATGCTTCTCAAGACCATAATATGCTTAGATCTGAAGTAGCAACTTTAGATCTGGCTTCTAACTCAAAAGAATAACATTATGGCTAAAAAAAACCCCAACAACCACACATAGATCTAGATGCAAAAAGGGTCCAAGAACTAGTTTATTACCTCCAAATGCTCAGAATGAACTCACAATCCCAGATCTATAGTCCTTTCTTGCTCCTCCAAGTTCCTTCTTCCTTCTCCAAGCTTCAATGCACCTTCCAAGGCAACAAATGGCTCAATCAATGGATATGGCATCTAGGGTTTGATGTTCTGGGTGAAAGAGGCAGTAAAGGAACCCTAGGGGAGAGAATGGGACGTTTAAATAGGCTCCAAGTCCTGATTTTAGGGTTTTCCTCGCACAAACCAGACTCACCGAGTCCCCTTGGCAGACTCGCCGAGTCGGTCACTTACTCCTCGACCCGGATCCCACTTAGACTCACCAAGTTTATCCTTGGACTCGCCGAGTCTCCCTTTAAAACTAAGGTTTTCTTTCCTTTCTTGGCCTTCCAAACTTTGGGTGTTACATTCTCAATGGAAAACTTGTTAGTTGGCAATCCAAGAAGCAAACGTGTGTGTCCCTGTTAATAGCTGAAGTTGAATATATTGCTACTGCCTCATGTACATATCAAGTCATTTGGATTCAAAGTCAGCTTCGTGACTATGGCTTAAGCATGAAACGAATCCCACTATATTGTGACTTTGAAAGTGCCATTCGTATTTGTGACAACCCAGTGCAACACTCAAAGACAAAACACATAGCACTGAGGTATTATTGCATCAAGGATCATGTAGAAGACGACAACGTTGAAATTCATTTCGTTAGATCCTCTTATTAGTTGGCTGACATATTCACAATGGCCTTACCTGAAAAACCTTCAATAAATCCTTCAAGGCTTAGGAATGATGGAAGATGAATCTGTTCCAAAACCACTCTCGCACACATAATTTCTAACACTGTGAATTGGTGAGAACGTTCGCAGTAGTTTGTAGTTCACTGTTCATTCGCAGTCTACTTTAACACTGCGAATTGGCGCGAGTGTTCATAGTAGTTCGCAGTCTATTGTTCATTCTTGGTTCAAAATTTTCAAATATCCTTTTGTACTTTATGTATATTATTGCTTATCTTTATTTTGTTTTTTAATCTTTTCTGTTTTTAATTCTTTTTCAGAAAATCACAAAAGACAAAAATATTTTATTTGTGTTTTTTTTTTTTTTTTTTTTTTTTTTTTTTTTTCACAAAATTCAAAACCATCAAAAATATCTTAAGAAGATCATAGAGTCACAGATTCGTATCAAATCTCAATTCATGTGCAGGGGTAGGTATAAATCTCTTTATCTATGTATTAGTTAAGTGTCCCAAGAAGCATGCTGTTGCATGTTGTCCGAAGCCTCAATAGACTCTATGTGAAGCCATAATAAATCGAATCTACCATTTGTTTCTTCCAAACCAGGTCTTAAATTCACATTAGTCATGAGCTACCTTACTTTTCTCATCTTGAGTTACGAGTTATCTGCTTGGTCAAATTTGCATAGCAGAGGTACATTCGCTTCTCTAGAACTACCTTCACTCTTCTCCATTTACCATCGCACTCATAAATGTAACCCTTGAGACTCCCAGCGATACCACTGAGGTTTATGGTTACAAAACTTATGAGTTCTTGATCTTAGCTTCGTTTACCACAAACTGAGTGAAACCCAAAATCCAACACACTTAAATGAATTGACGGTGAATAATTGAATGTTCTAGATTTTCAACATGGAATTAACGAAAGCCGACTTCGTGGTTTGTACAAAGAAATCTCTTTTTCTGTTACGAGATATTTATGAAGTGTTCTTGTACTATGTTACTTCTTCCCCTAAGATCTAGTTTTATTTTTATTGAGATTTCAAAGTCTCGCTTAGTCACTAAAATAATTCCAAGCCTACTCGTTCAACAGACTACACTAGTCACACGAGTACTTGATCCAACATCCGTACTTATATAAAGTTTGTTGTTTTGTTGGAGATTTAGCCACCCATTTAGCTAAATTAAAATAGTCCTTTCAATGTTTCTTATAAAACATTTGATCTTATTTCAACGGGAAACCACACAGATACTTCTCAGTCGCTCTTGACTTCGAAGAAGAGATCTATGTCGGGGATCAACAGTTTTGTGTTTTTATATAGACATCACGAAATTCCTTAGATATACTTTGATTTATTTCTTTATCAATGACACTCTTTCACGAAGGTCCTTGAGATCTTCCAAAAGTCTTGTTCATGGTTCTTAATGTTACTTTCAGGTTCGCAGTGTAACCCAAGTTTTCTAAAAACGAATATTCATGATGGATGGGTCAAAGAATGTTTCACTGCAAAAGTTTGATGATGATGCAAAAATTCCTGATGATAAGAATTCAAAAGGGCGCGTGAAAATTTGAACATACAACTACTTTTACGCCATATGACGCATGGGTCTGACACATCTACAGTTGTCAAGTTGCGCTTTTACAGGCGAAGTTTAAGTACCCAATGCATTCTCTCTCTGGATTTTCCTCACAAATCGAATGGTATATAAAGGTTTTGATAGTTCCTCTCTCATTATCACTTTTAAAATCCTCTCAAACGATTTCCGGCGCTCAAAGATTCACTTGTTCATCTTCTTTCTCAAGCTTCAACAATGGCTACTTCATCATCTGTTCATGATCAAACCGTTCACTCCTCTCTCCTAACTGTCAAACAACACCAGAACCTGCTGATTGATTTGGAACCATGCAAGTATGAACTATTCATGCTTCCAATCATCGTGTGTCTCAAGTATTCCCCACTAATGATTGCTCTTACCAAGATGGAGAACGTCCCATTGTCTATGCTCTCCAAGGCCTATACCTCTGCCAACCACATCAAGGAGGAGAAAAAGATCTCCTTTGAGATCCATAACCGTACGACCTCTATCTCTAAAGCCCGTTTCTGCTATCTTCTTAGGCTTCCTCAATATGATGATATGATCAACCCATAAACAATCTCTAGCGCTGCTCTCTTGGAGATGTTCTACCAGATGGTGTACAAAGAAACTCTAACTGCTATGTCGAAGTTCAGAAAACCAAATATGCCTCCTCAATGGAATGGCCTTTTTACTCTGCTGTTCAAAGGTTTCTCTAAAAAGGTGACTGGTTCCGACTGTGCCAATAAGATGTTCATGGCACTCATTTATGGTCTCTACACAGGTCAGAATGTTGACTATGGGTTTGTTCTTTGGGCTCAAGTCATTAAAAGCACCCACTCAACCACACATCACAATGAGATTTCCTATGCACGTTTATGGACCATTATTATTCCCAGGTCCATCGACAAGCTTAATATTCCTTTAATGGCTGATGCATTGATTGCAACTGTTTCCACTTTTCATACTACTGTAATCATTTTTTCCGATTCCTCAAAGTATTCTTTCATTGGATCTATTCCGGAAGTTATGTTCCGAGATGTACCAGCTGCAAGAAAGATTTTGGAGGGATACCGAAAATTAACTCCATCTGGGTTTCGTCCTTTGATCCTAGAATTTCAAGCAATATTGGCAGATGCAGACAAACCTAAGAAAGGGGATAAGGGTGTGAAGAAGGGAGGGAAGAAATCCACTGATAAGGAGGGATCTTCTGCAACTGCGAAACCTCCTACCAAAAAGCGAAAGCCACCAGCACCTTCTTCTATTGCTGCTCCTAAAAGACAAAAACAGCCCACTCGCAAGCGAAAGTGTCCCATTCCAAGTGAAAGTGAAGGTCTAGACTCTGAGACTGAATCGGATATTCAGATTGAGGAGGACCAGCCTATTCACAGTGAGGAGGAAGAGCACGTTCATACTGAAGAAGATCAAGTTCGTAATGAAGAGCCTCTTGTTCGCAACGAAGGAGAGACTACGAACCCTAAGGTAACTCAAACCTTCAATGACTCTGTTCCTTCCCCTCCTCCTTCTCCTAAAACTACTACTACACCTATTACTATTGTACCCTATCCTCCACCCGTTTCTTCATCACAACAAACCAGTATTCTTCTTTCTACTCCAATCTTCACTGATTCCACAATCCTATCCACTACTTCAGCCACACTTGCAGTCTCAGTCAACTTATATGATACAGGGGCTAAAACTTCAGGCTTTTCAACCCATTTCACCTCCCATATCCCCTATCCAAACTGATGATCCAGCCATGATATATGGGGACGATGATGATAATGATGATCTTAGCGGATTCACCTACAGTCCACTTCATATAATGAATTAAAGTGAAGATGAAGCCGCTATCATGAAAGGGCAGCTTCAGTCCCTTCATGAGAAGATTGACCAGCTGCTTCTCGCTTCTAAGGCTTCATCTTCTGAAGCTTATTCCAAAGTAGTGGTTGGATCTCTGTTCGAATGCATAACGAAGGAACATGTAGATAATGATGCAAAGAGGAACAAGGCAATGACTAATTCTACCGAAGTATGCAAGATAACGACCGAAAAAAGTCGATAAACTAATTTCTGACACAACTGCATTTATGGAAGCTCACCAATCCACCTACAACACCAACAACGTTTCTGTGAATGCAGCTCTATAGAATTTGGGCTCCATGTTCAAAGTGGAGAAGGATAATTGGCAAGATCATCGCAAAGGCTTACAAAATAATCATGAAACGTTTCAAACCTCCATCACTTCGTAAATCACAAAACTTCTAGATGATTTGGCAATGGACATTAAGGGCATGGATGCTCTCGCTGTGAAAACGGAGAAGGTCAGAGTGTTGGGTTTTAAACTGGAAAATGCTGAGAAAAAGGTCAAGGATTTGTTATCTGAGAGGGCAGTCATACGAAGCTGCATTTCAGATGTTACAAGCTTACTCTCAGATATCATTAAGACCAGGGCCTTAATGATTACCATCACAGTTCGAAAGCATTTAGCTGAAAAGTTACGCCATGTATTTGATATGCTTCACCGACTGGAGGGTGTTTCACCTCAGAACTCTAATCCAAAATAAGGGGGAGAAGGTGGATCTGGAGTGTCAAGAAACGAACCTCTTAAAGTCGCAACCAAATCCATTGTCAAGAAAGAACCTAAGGGCAAGGAAAAACTGATTGGTGAAAAGCTCATAATTGACAATGACGAAGACCAAGAGCCTGATGAAGCTAAGCTTAAAAGGCGGAAGGCTCGTGATGCAGAGTTGAATGAAAATCAACGTATCATCAAGGAGGCTGAGAAGAAAGAAAGGGCAGAAAAAGAAGCTTAGGCTACACTCAAAATCCAAATGTTCTTATTTCCCAAATGGACCCTGAAGCGAATCTAGCATTATGTTGTGGATTTGCCCAGCCAGTATTGGTTGGATCCAGTTGCATCCTCTGATCTTCAAAATTCTCAGGATTTGCAACTGGATCTTCCCATTACTCTTAAGGCTTTCAGGTTTCGTGCTTTCGTGAAGGTTGTGAATGATCCTATCACAGACAGAGGTGTTGATCACATGTTGTTCTCCTTCTACTTGAAGCACATGAAGCCCCAATATGAAACTTGGTGTGCGAACAAAATTGTTGTTGTGAAAGCCACTGGGCTAATAGAGACTGATAGCTTTCCCAACATGAAGTTTAAAGTAGCGAGAGTTCGGATAGTCAGGTCTATGAATTCACACTCGTAGACTTGACCTATATGAATCCTTATGACTGGATCATGCTTTACAACATGTTGTTGAGAGAGAAAGAGAAGTACGAACCTATTATGTCCCATTTCCAACTGATGATCAAGTCCTACATTCAAGAAGTTGGTAATATGGATGTGGATATTGCCACTGTTTTGAGGAAAAAGCGTACTGTCGTTCCCAAGGAAGCTTTGAAAGACTTTGAAAAACTAAAGACAAGAAAGATATATAAGGACGGATGGTTCGTGGTGTACCAATCTAGAGAAAAAACTGGAGCTGACTTTCACAAGTCTTGCTTCACTCTCGATGACAAACATTTGTACACTTCTTCTTGTCTGGAATTTGTATTGGACTTGGTTACCACGTGCAAGGGCAACCACAAGGATGACATCAAGTGCTTCTCGGATATGATTTTATGGTATATTCAGGTTCGCAAAGTGTTGCTAAGCTTCATTTCTAATATCTATGTAGTATAGAAGCGCATCACTGGTTGATTGACTATAGCCCCAATTGATGCAAAGGGGGAGAATGTTGAGTATTTAGATGTTGTGTCATTAGGATTTTAGTTTAGTATTTTGTATTAATGAGTTGGGCCTATCCACTCCTCTTTATTTCTAGGGTTAGAGTATTTATGGTGCATGCATGCATCTTATTTTAGTTAACTCTGATTATTTTAGCTGTAACCCTAATCACGCCTCTACATTATCAATTCTTCATAGAGTTCTTCTAAGGCGTGACTTTGAATCATTCAACATCAGTTTGATTATCATTGTGTTCTTAATTTTCCTTTTTGAATCTAATCGATCTTAAAGGATTATCATCCTAACAGAGACTCTATGACATCGACTGTGCGAGGCGCCAGTTTTGACACTCCCTGAGGGAGTTGAGGATTTCATGGTATTCTGTGATGCATCGAACGTCATATTGGGAGCAGTCCTTATACATAGAGGATGGGTTATAGCTTATGCATCGCGAAAACTAAAGCCACACGAGATGAGATACCCTACACACGATTTGGAGCTGGGAGCGATGGTATTTGCTTTAAAGGTTTGGAGACATTATCCCGACGGGGTCTGCTGTACCATATACACGGACGACAAGAGTTTGAGACACATCATGGATCAATCAAACCTAAATAGGAGGTAGTGCAGGTGGCTGGATGTAGTCAAGGATTACGACTGTGAAATCATTTACCATCCGGGTAAAGCGAATGTAGTCGTGGACGTCCTGAGCCACAAGTCAGCTGGATCTTCTGTACCAGCAACATGTATGAGGATATCTGTGGATTCTCCAATGGTGGGCTTGATTAGGGAGGCCCAGGCTAAGGGTGTATGGTAGGAGAACTGGAAGTTGGAGAGGATTAGAGGCGAGATCACTAGATTCGTGAAGGATAGTAGGGGATTATTGACCCAATGCGGGCAGGTATGGGTTCTGATGTCTGGTGGGGTCAGACAGATGGCTCTGGAGGAGGCTCATATGTCTCACTTCTCTATTCATCCGGGGGCCACCAAGATGTACCGGGATTTGAGAATGAGTTACTGGTGGCCGTGCATGCAGTGAGAAATCTCTTGGTATGTTGAAAGGTGATTGACTTGCAGGATGGTCAAGGCCGAGCATCATAGGCCACATGGCAAGCTGTAGCCTCTAGAGATTCCCATGTGGAAATGGGAACAGATCACGATGGACTTCATTACCAAGTTGTCGAGGACAACGAAGGGATTTGATGCTATATGGGTCATCGTGGATCGATTGACCAAGAGTGCTCATTTCCTGCCCATTCAGGAGAGCTCATCGGTCGAGAAGTTGGTCGACATGTATGTCTACGAGTTCGTTGCTCACTATGGGGTTCCGGTCTCTATTTCTTCCGACCGTGATCTTAGGTTCACCTCCTGCTTCTGGCAGAAGTTCCACGAGGAGCTGGGTACAAGACTGCATTTTCGTACAACTTATCATTTGCAGACCGACAACCAGAGTGAGCGGACCATATAGACCCTCGAAGACATGTTGAGGGTCTATGTCATTGACTTCGGTGAGAGCTAGGATTCCCAACTACCCCTTGCAGAGTTCGCCTAAAACAAAAACTATCATTCTAGCATTGGTGCTCCACCTTTCGAGTTGTTGTACCGATGAAGATGTCGTACCCAGGTCTGTTGCGGTAAGGTTGGCCACAAGGTGCTAGGTCGGACCAAGGTAGTTCTACAGACTACCGAGAAGATTTAGCAGATTAGGCAGCAATTGCAGACTGCTCAGATTCGACAGAAGAGTTATGCTCACTGACGCTGATCCGAGTTGAAGTTCCAGGTCGGCAGCATGGTATTACTGAAGGTCTCACCCTGGAAGGGTGTGACTCGCTTCAGGAAAAGGGGAAAGTTAGGTCCCCAATACATTGGTCCCTTTCGGGTTATTTCCAGGGTTGGAAAAATGCCATATAGAATGGATCTCCCAGAGGAGCTCAGTCACATTTATAACACTATTCACGTCTCCTAATTACGGAAGTGCATACTTGATGAGGAGACGGTAGTGTCATTGGATGATATTCAGGTCGATGAGTGCCTGAATTACGTGGAGATGCTAGTGGGAGTTCTGGAGAGGAAGCTGAAAGTTCTATAGAACAAGGAGGTACCTTTGGTAAAGGTACGATGGGAGCACCGGCGGGTATCTGAGTGGACTAGGGAGCCGGAGGCTGAGATGGGGGAGCATTACCCGGAGTTGTTTGTTGCAATAGATTTCAAGGACAAAGTTTACTCCAAGTGGGAGAGAATTGTAACATCCCGACTCCCATGTATAAATTTTAAAGCTTTTAAACTCACATTATAGAACCTACTCAATGAGTTGGTTGCCCCCAACTCATCGTGTAGAGATTGATCAAGCCATGTGGATTTTAGAATCTACTCGACGAGTTGGAGGACCCAACTCGATGAGTAGAGGTTGTTCATGGAAACCCTAATATCTAGGGTTTGCATCCTATTTAAAGGACCTTAAGTCCTTTCCCCCGACCTCCTTACCACCTTTCACGAGCTAACCTTCATTTTGAGTGTGTGTGAGGCTAAAGTGTGTGTTTTGGTGCATTTTTGAAGAGGCTTGAAGATTTAGAGGCTTGGAACGAGGAGATGCTTATGGATCCAGCAAGTACTTCATTTTGGCATCCATTTGGAGGTAAAAAGTCTTTACTTTGAACTTCCATTTATTATATATTTCTTATGCAAGTTATGGGCATTTTGGTGCACAATGGGGGTCATTCTCGAGTTTGAGCTTGTCACAAGGACATGGCTTCAGATCTGGACTCCTCTAGGCCCTCTATGACATAAAGCCTCAAGTTTTATGAAGCTTTGGCCCTTGTCCATGACCTAAACTTCTCATTAGACTTAGTTTTGGTGTTTTAATCCTTTTGAGACCTTGCATGCACGTAAAGTTAGAAACTTTACGTGGTAACTTCACCCTAGGAAGCCAGATCTGGAGTTTGGAGCTATAAACTCGACTAGAATGAGCTGAATGCAAAATGGCTGAAGAAACTCGACGAGTTGGATGAGGGTTTCCCGCTTTTTGGATTCTGCATGAACTCAGCGAGTTAGCAAGGTGACTCGACGAGTTGGTTAGATTTTTCTCGATATTCTAGATGTTGCATGGACTCGACGGCTTACTTGGCAACTCAGAGCGTTAACTAGGGTTTTCACAACTTTATGAGTTCTAAAGGAACTCGACGAGTCTGTGAGCCACACTCGACGAGTTTAGTCAACATAGACTGTTGACCTTGACTGATTGACTTTGACCTTGACCAAGGGTTGACTAATTGACTTTTGAGGGTATTTTGGTAATTTGGGAATTTATGGAATTGGATCAATGGTGGTTGTATGTGTTGGTGTTTGGAGCTATGTTTCAGGTGTTTGATATTTTAGTTCCGATCGACATTGTGAGGTGAGTTGTCCTCACTATACTAATAGGGTCGAAGGCACCAATATCAACCCTTATTGGATTGTTATCCTGGTTATTACATGATGATATGTTAGTGACCTATTAGGCCAGTATCCTGGTAGATAGGATGATGATGTGTTAGTGACTTGTTAGGTCGGTATCCTGGTACATAGGATGATGCTATGATTAGTGACCTGTTAGATCGATCTGACTGTTTGTACATGCTACCTAGCTTATGATATCTATGTGTTGATTGTGTATGTGGGGTTGGGTTGAGGCGGACTTGCTTTGTGATGAAGGCCAACAAACCCAGGGCGGACCGGATAGATTGCAGACCCATTAAGGCATATCAG